AGGAGAGGGCGTGACGGGCCATTGAAGTTAATGGCACCTTAGCCACGCCCTCCAGCCACAATGCGATCGGCCGTACGGGATCGCAAGACACATTGTGCCTGCGGTCCGATCAAAATGCTGCAAGCACTATTTTGATCTAACCGCTGTGGACCACAGGCACAATGTGCATTACGATCCCATGCGGCCGATCGCATAGTGGGCCGATCGATCGCAGTACTGCATCTGGTGTGAACCTAGCCTTATTCTGTGCCATTCACTGCTTTAATTTTTCTGTCTCAAGCCGTGGGCTGAACGAAAAAAAAAAGCAAAAAATTGAGCAAATTCCTCCATCAACACTTAGGAGCGTGTCGATCGAGGAATACCACTGTTTCCATGGTATTCTGACAGAGGCCACTGGCCAATGCCCGAACAGAGGCTCTGATCGTACGACGATTATCCAGCCAGCTCCTTCGATCAGCTGATCAAGGGATCTCGGCCGAAAGGGTGCCGACAGCGGCACAGTGTGCAAATTTCAGAAGGCTCCTCCAAACCAGGCCAAAATATGCACAGTGTATGGGCACCCTGAAGCTGCCCATAAACTTGCCGATTATCGTACGATAAAAGCGGGTGATACCACGATAATTGCCAGGTGTATGGGCAGCGTGCGACCGCTTCTACTGTAAGGTCGCACGACTTTCGTCTTACAAGCACGCTGTAAAACCTCCCAAAAATCATATGATTTTCGGCGGGTTGGTGGCGTGCTCGGAAGACGAATGTCACACGGGTCGGTGTGCGCAAGTGCACACTGCCCGCTCAGAACTGCAATCATCGGAAGCCCTTCCCTCAGCGGGGAGGGCTGGCGATGATCGCAAGAACGATCTGCCTGTCCAAGATGGCCAGGTCGTACAAAATTTGAATCACCTTACAACCATCGCAACGAAAGTTGGGTGATGGTTGTAAGGTGTATGGGCACACTTAGTCTTGCCATGTGCATCAGGTTTTCATTGACAATTTGTTGTGATAATTTTGTCCACCTCGAAAATCGAGTCCGTCCAATCCAGGAGCCAGCAAAATGTTTCTTTTAGGAGCCCTGCTCCATTGACAACAACTAAAGAACCTCAGAAGTTAAGCGCAAACCATACATTTTAAAGGAGCATTGGCTACCTGGCTCCTGGGATTGATCCAGCCCTGGTGTAACTGATCAAATTTGGAAAGTGATCACATAGCACACCACCAATGGAAAATGTGCCTGTACTGTTAATCAGATGCCATCCACCAACAGTTTTGTGCAGAAAAACGACATAAAACAGTTTTTTACAACAAAATTAATTGAATGAAAGGATTGGAACTTTAAACTTTGATTAAACGCTGAGAAATTGGGTCAAAAGGGATCAAAATAGTGCTGAAAGAATGTGTCACCTACGATTGTTCAAATGACAGAAGCAATGCTTCCTTTGAATTAAATCAATGAAAATGAAGGGGACACATTTTTCAATGAGTTGACGAAACAATTGGAGTTTTAAAAAGACCTTTTGGAATATTTTTTCTTATTTCATTTTATGAAGGAAAATGGTCAAATGGATTTGGAATTGTGCGGAAAAAAAAGATCAATATTTGCTAGATTTTTTCAAACTACTAAAACGGTTGAAAGAACAACGGAGTCAATATGTGTTCGGCGAGGATTACAATTCAAACTGTTACATTACAGGAATACAGCAATACACACTGTCCGGGGTACAGAATGGGATCCATACACAGGTATTAAGGGAAGAACAACAATTTTCACAACGCAGTAAGCCATAGCAACCAATCAGGACGGGTTCTGGAGTTATATCTGATTGTGCGTTATGGGTTAAAGCATTTTACCTTATTTAAAATAAAATGTAAAAAAAGCCAGACTGTGTCCCATCTAGTAAGCCGCTGGCAGGGGACACTAATAGCACAAGATGCGGCCTGCGAGCAATAAATAATTAATTGCACGATCCAAAAGCAAATATCCTGATAATGTGAGAGTGTGGAGCATCAACACAAGTACATTCATTTCAATTGTATTTGGTCTTCCGAAAGTATATAGATGAAGAACAAGGGAGTCCCTCTATACTCAGATGTATTGTTAAACACCTACCAATCCCCCTTAAATGTATCCCCCGTTACTGCATTTGCAATACCCCTGTACATGTATCCCCCTATTACTGCATTTACATTCCTCCCTCAATGCATCCCGCTGTTACTGCATTTACAATACCCCTGTACATGTATCCCTGTTACTGCATTTATAACACCCCCTAAATTAATTCCCCTTTACACTGTAGTCCTATTTCCTCTTAAATGCATTCCCATTACTGCATTAACATTTCCCCATACCTGCATTTACAATCCTCCTTAAATGCATTCCCCGTAACTGCATTTACAATCCTCCTTAAATGCATTCCCTGTAACTGCATTTACAATCCTCCTTAAATGCATTCCCTGTAACTGCATTTACAATCCTCCTTAAATGCATTCCCTGTAACTGCATTTACATTCCCCCTACAAGTGTTTTATCTTTTAGTTACCTAGACCTCCAGGAGCAAAGAAATCCCTCCTTTGCTCCTCCTTTGCACAAAGGGTTTCCCTCCACCAGAGGCGGGATCCAAGAAGACGCCCTGTGTCACTTTCTCCAGATGCATGGCCCCCATTGGACACCAGTCCTACATAGACTGGCAAGGAGTGACAACACCACTAACCCTGGTGAGCATTGTAACATTGTCACCCTTGGGGGAAAAAAACTCTTGTTTGCATCACTTTGTTAACCATGACATATCCTAACCAACATTCCAAGTGGAGAACAAACTTCACTCCACTTTTGTTGAGGGAGGAAGAAAGTCTCTCCCCCTACCCTCTGGGAGATCAAGGTGCACTGCATAGATTATAAACTTAGTCGTAGATTCCGACCTTTCTCAGTTGTGAAGGAAAAGTTGTTTGTGTCACCATGTCCTCTCCAGACGGATGCCTGAATGGGAGTGTCTGGTTCATTATAATGACTTGGTGCACTTTCACTGTTGTAATAAACGGTGGAGTGTCGGCATCCCTTTACAAGTAGTTAACTGAGTAACTCACCAAAAATTAAAATGTCTATTGCAGGTAATGCCATAAATATTACTTGTATGTCAATTCAGACTCCTGAGAAAACCTGCGAGCCAATCACAGAAGCAGGATGCAGTCAACACCTACCTCCAGTGTGTGCCAGGACCAATGTCCACAACAAGTGGTCATCGGTCACCCGTGTCATCCAGATGCTCTGTGCAATATAAAAACACTTTACTAGAAGATCCCATCAACACAACTCCTAGATGTGCAATGCCAGTGACCTTTCCATGTACAGATCTACAGGTAGCCACGACGGGGCGCCCACAACCAAACCCTACAACCATACCCACCACGGGGAGAACACAACCAAACCCTACAACCAAGTCCTACACATAACCACCACGAGGAGAACACAACCAAGTCCTACACATACCCACCACGGGGAGAACACAACCAAACCCTACAACCAAGTCCTACACATAACCACCACGAGGAGAACACAACCAAGTCCTACACATACCCACCACGGGGAGAACACAACCAAACCCTACAACCAAGTCCTACACATAACCACCACGAGGAGAACACAACCAAGTCCTACACATACCCACCACGGGGAGAACGCAACCAAGTCCGACACATACCCACCACGAGGAGAACGCAACCAAGTCCGACACATACCCACCACGAGGAGAACACAACCAAGTCCGACACATACCCACCACGGGGAGAGAGCAACCAAGTCCGACACTTACACAATCAATGGTCACACAATTCACCCCCCAACTCTGGGACGTGAAAAGTTTACCGCAAATAGCATAGAGGAGCAAACCAGAAATAAATCTGCCCACACACCCATGACTGAGAGAAATGAAGAGTATATGGAGAGCATCAGTCATCTGAGAGGGTCAGAAATTGGGGCATGAGCTGCACTGTCTATATTATCCATCTACAGAGGAAGACAAATCAAACGACAGATAGGACAGATAGGACAGATAAAACGAATTCTATAACTGCATAACAATGTCTAATAGAGCATTCTTACAGAAAGATATGTAGTCTCTATGGAACAGCAGTCTAAACAGGGCACACATACAGATCTAAGACTAGAGGATATGGGACAGAAGTATGATCAGCACACATGTGAAGCACACACAGATATGGCTATATATTAGGGTAGGCAACCTTGGCACTTCACCTGCAGTAAAACTACAAATCCCTTCATGCCTGTAACTGTCAGTATTGCAATGCCTCATGATACTTGTAGTCCTACAACAGCTGGAGCGGAATATAGGAGTTGGCACAGTGTGGCAGGTGAAACACACACACACACACACACACACACCTGGCTATATAGGACAAAGCACACAGATCTGGGTATACAGGATTATAGGGCACAGTGGGATCAGCACACAGGTGAAGCACGCACACACATGTATACAGGATATGGGACAGCAGTGTGATCAGCAGAGAGATCATACATACATACACATATATTAGTGTGATGAGATGAAGTGTGCGCACGCACAAACACAAGCACATTGTGATCAGGTCAAGTGCTCACACAAATATACACACAGCCATGTAATCATATGAAGAACACACATATAGCAGTGTGATCTCACACACACACCAGTGCGATGAGGTATAGCACACACACACACAGCAGTGTCATCACACACATCTGGGTACACTGGATAGGGCACAGTGAGATCAGGTGAAGTGCACACATAGATATACATACACAGCAGTGTGAGCAGGTATGACTACACAGCAATGTGATCAGATATGACACACACACAGCAGTGTGATCACACATACACAGGACTGCAGCAGTGAAGTGACACAGCAATGGCACTATGACGAGTTGTGTAGCTCCTGAGCTCAGAGATGATATCAGGGCAGCAGTGACAGGGGGCCACTTCCAGCAGCAGCAGGCAGCTCTCACTTACCTTGGGCTTGTAGAGCCACTTTCTGAACCTGTTCATCATTCCGTCCGGGGCTGTGCGGCTGCTGGATGTCAGCGGTGTCCCCTCCGTACAGGCTGCCGATCAGCCGCTCCCAGCCCCGGCACAGCCGAGCCCCGATCTCCCCCTGACAAGCGGCGGTGAGGGCTCCACTGACAACCCCAGTGCAGTCAACATCCCCAGCCAGCAGCGCCACCGGAGATCAGACTGAAGCCGACTGATGTCACGGTCATGTGACCGGCCGCATGTGTGGGCGGAGCCGGCGGAGGCCGTCTATTTATGCAGCTGATGAAGCCCCGGAGACCGGCTGTGCTGCCGGAGACTGAGCGGAGGGGTTAGCTTTCCGGGGTCTTCAGCCTCATGGACGGACATGGGTTATATATGCACACAGGGTGCTCAGTGGACACATCTATATCTTGTACATGTGAAGGGAATGAGCTCTGTCATTAATAAACTTCATTATCTGCAGCTCTCTTCTAATTGGATGTATGTGTGCATATTAATTAGAAAGATAATTTTCCGTGCATGTGATTGGCTCATCGCTGTTCTAAGAAGTCGGCCCAGGTTGGGGCACGATTTTAGGCATCCCAGGCCCAAGCACATGGCTGCCTCTGGCTGTACAATGTAAATTCTGGTGTATTCAGGGGGCACATTTGTCTTGTGCACCCATACACATGCACCAGAGTATTGACTTCTCTTGACACGGCCGAAGCCAGAGGGGGGCATGTGCCGCTTTAGGAGGGGTGCCTTTGGGTGTGTAGATAGAGAACTTCTCCCTTGGGGGGAGCAACTCTGAGCCTTTGCCCCAGGTGACAGAATGTCCAGCTTCCACACTGGGGGGCTGCATGCAGCACCTGTGGCCCCCTAGAAGAGGAAATACGACGGAAGTTGTACTGTACGGTCATGTGTATGAGCCCATAGTGGGGACCAGTCTACTGGGGATGCACTGTTTGTCTTATTGGGACTGACCCAGAGATTACAGAATTTTTACATAAATTTTTGGCTATTGCAATAGTCTGGAAGACTGCAGCTGGAAGAAATATGTAAAGTCTGAACTGAGACCCGGAGATGGCTTTCCTGTAGGACCCATTCTGCTCTGTGGTGTTGCATTGATGCCTGCGCCTTTTGTCGCAGGTGAAAGTGATTTGCATTAGACAGCCTATTCAAATGGAAGGGCGGCCAATGCAACAGAAAAAATGGTGCATGTCCAATTTTTTGTTCCAACACAATGCATGGTAGTGTGCTATAATGCGTTGTGGTGTAGTGCAACATATGTTCATAGTGGTCAGATGTCTTAGTGCATTGGGGTGCCATTGAATAATAACAGTGCACTGTGCTATGCATTAGAAAAAGCCCTGCAACTAACAGGCATAAATGGGCCCTAAAAATAGGCCTGTGTCTAGTGGCTTCAAACTTGGGTTGATGGCATCAGATTGACACATTTCTGAGATCCTTCACAATTCATTGATAGGTGTATCTGACCTGCAGTTTACTTCCTTCGAACCTGCAGTTGACCTCCTTCCAACCTTCAGATGATTGCCATCCAACTTGCACTTGACCTCATTCCAACCTTCAGATTGCAGCCTTCCAACCTACAGTTGACCTGTTTGCAACCTTCAGATGATTGCCTTCCAACCTTCAGTTGACCTCCTTCCAACCTTCAGATGATTGCCATCCAACCTGCACTTGACCTCATTCCAATCTTCAGAATGCAGCCTTCCAACCGTCAGTTGACCCCCTTACAACCTTCAGATAACCCCCTTACAACCTTCAGTTGACCTTCCAACCTTCAGTTGACCTCCTGACCTTTATTTGACAAGTTTTGAGTGGTTTTGCATTTCCATAGACTTGTATGGAAATGCAAAACCCATCTGATATGAACAATGGCCGCAGACACAGGACTTTATACTTGGACTTTAGAGTCACTGTCACTTTGCATATTCAGGAACAGATCCCTCAGCTTCTTCACTTCTCCACTCCTGTGCCGGAGCCGTGAGTCCTAACACTGTGTAAGCTCTGTGTCGGAGCCGTGAGTCCTAACACTGTGTAAGCTCTGTGTCGGAGCCGTGAGTCCTAACACTGTGTAAGCTCTGTGTCGGATCCGTGAGTCCTAACACTGTGTAAGCTCTGTGTCAGAGCTTAAACAGGGTAAACTATCTTCAGGTAAAACTGAACATTTTGGATAGAGTAGGGAAGGGTTGGATCCTCTGTCAAGTTGTTATTGCTGTCTGTGTCTGCATTAGGGATATTCACCCCTCTATTTGTTCTAGTGACCACTGTCACCGAGAAAGAAAGTGAGGGGAAATCCAAAATGTTAGTTGTCCCTAAAATAAGAGGCAAGGGGAAATTTTCAATGGGATACCTGTCCTGGGGACAACTAGGGAATTCCAATCAATTTGGGAGATTTCCTCTAACTTCCTGTTGTGTCTTAACTACCTGCATACTGCCAAGGCTCTTGAACATCTGGGTAGACGAGCATGATCCCTATGCCCTTCACATGCAGGGACAGCGCAGACTCCGGCCGCTGTCAATCAGCAGCAGATGGGGGGAGCAGGAGAGTGGCTTGCCTCCAGGACCATAGGCTTCAGTGGATATATATACACGTCAACTGGAGTAATGGGAAATTCCACATTTTTATAGTTGTCATCAGAACAGGAATACAAGATACTCTGTTATAAACTCCACCACGTGTCCAGGTGGGAGCGCACAGGCATAGGTGGCTCCATGGGTCCCTGTAAGTGGACAGAGCCAACCAAAGGCAGGATTGTCAGAGGGAAAGCAGCCAGAGTGGGAAAATGGAAAGAGACATGCAAGCAAGGTACGTGCTGGGGTGTACAAGTGCTATTGATGCACCATGGACAATTCTAAATGCCAAAAAAGAAGGTAGTCTATGTATGCTATATGGACTTACAACACAACAAACAAATACATTGTAGATCAGTGGTTCAAACTGTGTAACCTCTGGACCCACACATGCATACACACTCCAAAAAAATTTAATTTGTTTCCTCTTAAGTTACACCCAGTCTCCCTACCTTACAAGAACTGGAGCGGATCCTCAGCCTGGGGTCCAGTGTGAGCTGCTGTGATGGAGCGCCACCTTTAAGTGCATCGTCTGTAAAGCTCCCTTGGAGGTGCCAGAAGCCAGAAGGTGACATCACTCTGGTCCAGGCTCCTCTACAGGGCAAGCAAGGGAGCTGTAAGCAATGCAGGTAAAGATGCGAGTTCCTACGTGGCTATACCCCATACCCACCCCACCTCAAGCTGACACTCGGCACCGGGCAGCATATTTTGAATGTCTGCTGGGCGCAAGAACTGACCTAGCGCCCAGCAGCCACCTAGCGCAGTGGAAGGCACACGGCCACTGAACAGGGAGTTGCAACCCACTTTTGGGTCGCGACCCACCAGTTGAGAACCACGGGTGTAGATACATCTGTATCAGTTTATATCTAGACAGTAATACTGTAACAAAAAATGGGCTAATGTCCTTCTCTCAGCCAGGGATGTCTCCCTCCATGTTTCCCATAGCTTATAGAGAGGGGAAGACTAAATTAAATTGCTAGCCTCTATGTATCACATCTTTTTGCATTTCATCATCTTGATTTGCTCCTGGATGGGGCTGCAAAAGATGCCCATAGGAGTACTTCCTCGACGCTCCGCAACTTCATTCTGACGATGGTGGGTGTGCCGCTGTCTGGACACCGGAACAGTGACTGCAGCTGATTGTCTACAATCACTGGCACAGTATTTACTGATGAAAAATCGACTTTTAAGGAACGGAGGGGTGCTGAACAGTTTATGGCTGACTTCCGATCTTGCTATTCTACTTCTAATATTAGCAGGCAGAATGAAGGTGTGTCCCCCCCCCCCGGCAGCCCAATGATGAAAAAAATGCATGCACAGCCTTTGATTTCTTTATAGCCTGTAATGCAAATGTGATTCTTCTGTAATACTGAAGCATCATTCTCGGCATATTCTGTGATGTTTACCGTTATCTTTTATTCCAGCATTCCTCCAGCGTTGGTACATGAGCCACGTGCAGCTCCTCTGATGCTGGGCATGGCAGCTCCTCAGCATATTTTTAGTCTTGAAATACATATCTTGTGTGAACACCTGCTGCATTATACACGTCTCATATACATCATCTCATAGATCTTTAATTAGGCTGAGAGAGGTTCACCATCAGCTTCCTCTAAACTCGGGGTAGGTATGGGTCAAAGGAAGACACCTCCCCCCTTCCCTGGTAACTCTGGGCAATTTTGTAGTTAAAAAACTCTTTCTGGCCCCACAAACGAGCACACTACCCTTAGAAATGTTAGAAATTCATCATCCTAAAGTGATGTTTTGAAGGTATTTCAAATGCTGATTAAATCACTTACAATAGATGCCGCTCCTTGATGTTTAAGGGCTTGTTCACACCAATTACAGTGCATTCCAGAGCGGTTAGCTGCTAAAACGCTCTGTATCGCATCCTGGCCGACTCCCTGCTTCTTGCAGCATTTTAATGCGTTTGCACTGGGCCGGAACGCAGTTATTGTTGTGCCACACGTTCTAGTGTCAGTGATCACACTGCAGGCAGGGGACGCAGCTGCGGTGCCTTTAACTTGACTGTACCACCACGCCCTCACCCGCCCCAGAACGCAGGGAGCCAGCCATGATGTGATACAGTAAGTTCCAGAAGCTAACCGCTCTGGAACGCACTGTAACTGGTGTGAACAAGCCTTAAAGCTTTTAGCCTTCTGCAGAATCAGCTGGCCCCCTGGCCCGTACAGCAGCCCTTCGGTTCGACTTCGACTGAACCGAAGGGCAGAGGCAGCCGAAGGATCAGCAAAGCTACGGCTGGATCCTTCGGCTCTTTTGTGGTTAACCCCCTTAATCTTTCACCATTATATCCATATCTTAAAAAATAGCTGTGCCTTTAATTATACTATTAAAGGCCTTTAATTTATATCTACATGAAAAAACGCCAAAATGTGGAATTTTCTTTCACTTTCAGTGATGATGGTCACCAGGACAAGTAGGGAGAGGTGAATCTCTGTAATGGGGACACGGAGAGCAATGAAAACCTGACAGGTCTTCTAATCCCTCTTCACTCTATCCAAAACTGAAGAAAAACATTTTGGCTTCTTGGCAATTCTCAAGGTGGTAACAACGTTGGACCGTACCTGTGTAATGTGGGTTAAACTTGCCTCTTGTA